GGACGAAGTCATTTCTTGTCAGTGGAGTAGCAATATGCCTCCTAAACTATTCTATTTGCTGGATTACTTCCAATCAAAATGAGGCACTCCTTTTAATGTAGACGAAATATGGTAGGAGGAGTCTTATAGTTAAGGGAAAAAGAAAAATGAAAAACCGCTCACTAGCCGCGTCCACCTTCTTTCCTACGTGCCTGTGATTTCGCATCCATCTAGTCTATGGCGCATGTGCTTGTCTGAGTTGGGTTATATGTACGGATAAAACGGCAGAATCTGACTCCACTCTTCCCTCCTTCGCAACCGTCAAATTGAGTTCTCAAATAAGAATATTTTACCGTGGTAGGAGTAACTGGATTATAATGATAGAAAAGGGATACAACATTCTTTTGACCGATTAGCTGACACCGGCACACCTAAATGCTTCTAAGGACTTCTCTTTCTGGCACAAATGTTAAAAGATTTGCCTTAGGCAAATCATTTGATAAGCAAACAAATCTGGGTGAATGATTAAATGTGTCCGGTTTACCATGCATACTCAGGCGCAAACACCAGGAAGAAGACATAAATGGCAATCATTTGGAGTTGAAGTGGTGAGTGATTTAAGTATTTGGGAAGAAGAATTGGAGAGTCATTCAGTGATAACCAATGATGTCAAAGGACAAAGGCACGTCTTGCCATACGTCATCCAACCAGTAGGCAATGTTTTGGCCGTTCCAGTTGCAGGTGCCAAATAGATGGGTAGTGCAGATCGACTGTTCTTAAAGGGTAGTCTTAACAATCTATGCATTTCATGTTGACTTATCGGCTCAAGAGTTTTCACCGCTTGTCTTCTTGAAATAGGGAAGAGCCAATCAGTTCATAATTTGCCTGGCGTTACCTGTTGCAAACAGTTTCCCTTGACAAGTCATCCTTCGTTTTCCATAAGTAAGTGAGTACAGAGAATGGAGGGTCGAGCCGTCTAGCGTCACGTATATGTGACACGTGTCACGAAACCACATCTTAGCTTGACATGACGTGACATGATGCTGCATGAAGTTTTGCCTACATCAAGCCTTCTCTAGCTGGTGCACAGCTTTGATGATGTGTCTGTGGAAGACTGGGAGCACCGAAGCCAACGCCGCTCGTAAGGCACACAGGCTTCAATCGCGACGTTTCATCTGACAGTCTGCTTCAATCGGCATCGCGTTGCGTGGGCGATGCTGCATCGAGGGAAAAA